ACTAATCTATGCAGCAGCCAAATTGCTTGCTCACAACTTTAATACTAGTAGCTCACAAATTAGAATTTTTGCTCACAAGACTCCACAGCTTAGAGGGAACATTGGAGGGGAAGGGAAAGGAGTTTGTAAGCCGCTCTGAGACACCTTTGGGTAGTGAAGGCCGGGGTATACATCCAATCTCTTCTTCTTCTTTTACCTCACAGGGTGTCCGTTGTGGGGAGAGGAAGGGAAAGGAGCTTGTAAGCCACTCTGAGACACCTTTGGGTAGTGAAGGCCGGGGTATACATCCAATCTCTTCTTCTTCTTTTACCTCACAGGGTGTCCGTTGTGGGGAGAGGAAGGGAAAGGAGCTTGTAAGCCACTCTGAGACACCTTTGGGTAGTGAAGGCCGGGGTATACATCCAATCTCTTCTTCTTCTTTTACCTCACAGGGTGTCCGTTGTGGGGAGAGGAAGGGAAAGGAGCTTGTAAGCCACTCTGAGACACCTTTGGGTAGTGAAGGCCGGGGTATACATCCAATCTCTTCTTCTTCTTTTACCTCACAGGGTGTCCGTTGTGGGGAGAGGAAGGGAAAGGAGCTTGTAAGCCACTCTGAGACACCTTTTGGTAGTGAAGGGCGGGGTATAAATCCAATCTGTTCTTCTTCTTCTTCATCTTCACTGGAGTCCCCCCTCCAAAGCAGCCATTTTCTTCCGAGGAGCTGATCTCTGTGGTCTGAAGCTCACTTGCCATTCCAGGAGAAATCCAGGCCCTACCTGGAACCTGGAAACCCTATCCACAGAACCCCCTTCTCTTTATGAAACCTCAGAAAAACAGGGGTATGATGCAGCACCCCCAGCTCACTAACTCAGGCTGAGGACAGACTGGCAGGATAAAGCGCAAGGGAGGCGGGGCAAAAAGACCCGGACCAAATTGTGCTGGGGATTCCCGTTCGCACTGCACCTACTGATGCGGGAACATGCCGGGGAGGAGGCACAAGGGAGCGTTCCCACTGTTGGCCAGCCCCTGGCGGCGGCGCGGCTGTAAGTGGCTGTTTTTCACTCCGGCGACGTGCGCCTATGCACATAGGCGCAGCAATGAGGCTTGTTTGCGGCTTTTAGCGTGCACACTTCCGGGAAGCGGGATCAACGCACCCTCCAGGGTTTTGGTACTGCTTTCACCTGGTACTTTTTTAACGCGGTAAGGGAATCGTCATAGGATGGGTTGAGTACGGCTGGGGAACGCCCGACAGCTGTGGCTGCGTGAACCGGCCCCTTTAATCTGTTTGTGAAACGTGCCTCTGTTGGGCCAGGCTGCTAGTCTGAACTCAGTGTCAGCAAATAATGATAATTCCAGGGTTAGATCCGAATTGGATGTTTCCTACCTTCCCCTTCCTTCAGCAGGCTCACAAGACCTTCAAAAAGTGTTATGGGACTTCAGCTTCGATAGTGCTCAGAGATGTGGAGTGAAAAGTTTCTCGTGTTTTATTTTTTCCCCCATGGAAAATATTCGATTTCTAAAGATGAATAGCAGTGGATTGATGCCATCATCGGTGCAACATTAGCCAAGCTTGGCAGTTAGCGTTAGTGAGAGAGTCCATGGCTGTTTTATTGAGGAGGAAACAGAAGCAGGTGGAAAAAAACAAAGCCACGTGTCTAATAAGCTAAATGGAAAAACAAAATCAAGTTATGAATCCGTAGCATGGCAAATTACTGAGGTCTCATCAAAATCAAAGCTGAACTTCTTCCCACATGGCGGATCCCAGTGTAATCGCCAGTATGAAGTGGAACTAACAAGTAATATAATTGGGGTCGTGATCCAGTAACCTCAGTAGGAAAAAGTCAAGTTCTCATGAAATAGATGAGTTCATGTTTAGTTAAAAAAATAACAACTGGAAGTAGCAGTGGGTAGCTCTAGGAATTACTGGGAATTCCATGGTAAAACTTGTGTCACTTCTGGGTTTTGTTTTTGTAATGTATCGGGGTCCAAAGATGGCCACGGCCATGTGGGCCTGGCCATGCGGTCTAGCACAGACCCAGACCTTGGTTCCAAGAGACAATAGCCACCGTGGATCCTAGGGCGCACCTATGGGTTCGCCCGGATCCGAGGGTTGACCTATCAGCAACACAACTGTAAATAGTGTTGTAAAAATAGTCAAAAGTATTTAAATTACTCAGAGTATCAATGGATCTTGCTCTATTGGAAAGAAGAGATTTCTTTGCATTTAAAAAACTTTATTTCTAAGGGTAAAGGTACACAGGAAACCTACAAATAAACAGAACATCTAAGAGCTACATTTTCTACTGCTTACATCTCAAAACATAGTCACACACTAGCACACAGATAATGGAGAATCTGTCCTTCTTCTCGACCCCTAGGAAGGAAGTCACCTGGAACAAACAACCAATCACTTATCACAATAGAAGTTACTTTTCCCGGGCTAATTCCCCATTGGCTCTGCACCAGGTTTCCCTTCCAGGTCAGTCTAAACAATACCAATACCAGGTAAACAAGTTAACTATATAATGACTGGATTGTCAGACCTTGTAAACACATACATTTCCAACAAATAGGACCTGTCATGGGGAGTGGGTGTGTGCGGGGTGTGGTGTGGCACACACATTTAAGCCGGGTATGGACCGGCTTTGTTATCTTGGTGGAAACTGGTTGGTGTAGTGGTTAGGAGCGCAGACTCTAATCTGGGAGAACCAGGTTTGATTCCCCACTCCTCCACATGCAGCTGCAGGTGTGATGCTGGGTCAGTTACAAGTTAGTTCAGAGCCGTTGTGTCAGGAGCAGTTCTTGAGAGAGCTCTCTCAGCCCCACCTACCTCACAGGCTGCTCTGCGACCTCTTCAGGTAGTGAAGGGTGGGGTATAAAGCCAATCTCTCTCTCTTCTTCTTCAGAAGGTTCAGGATGGACAGCCATACAGGGTCATTAGCAGCCAAAGTGAGGAAGAATGAAGGCATATGGTGTTGCCAGCCTCCAGGTGAGGCCTGGAGATCCCCCCCAGCATTTCAGTTGAGCTCCAGACTTCTGAGAACAGTTACCCTGGAGAAAATAGCTGTTTTGGAGGGTGGATTCTACACCATTATAGCCCGCTGAGGTCTCTCCCCCTTCCCAAACATCACCTTCTACAGGTCTCTCCCCCAAATCTCCAGGAATTTCACAACCTGGAGTTGGCAACTGTAGCAAAAGTTGACTTGAAAAGATCTGACTTGCTGAACAATAACACTCCTTTTCTCTCTTTTGACCCAAATGGCAGTTGGCGAAGCAGTACGGAAATATTTACACTATATGGATTGGGCCTGTACCTGCGGTAATATTTTCTGGATTCGAAGCCGTGAAAGAAGGACTGGTAACCTATTCAGAATACTTTGTGGATAGACCAATGACTCCTCTTCTGAAAGTTATAACAAAAGAAAGGGGTAAGTTCTGAAAAGTAAAAGATGTGAATGACCTTGGGGTACGGGTTAAGTTAAATACGAGCAGCCAGTGTGATGCAGCGACAAAAAAGGCTAATGCGATCTTGGGGTGTATCAACAGAGGCATAACATCCAAATTGCAAGATGTCATAGTCCTACTGTATGCTGCATTGGTCAGGCCACACCTGGACTATTATGTGCAGTTCTGGAGGACTCACTTAAAAAAGGATGTGGACAGAATGGAGTGTGGGCAGAGGAGAGCGACGAGGATGGTCGGAAGCCTGGAGACCAAGCACTATGAGGAAAGGCTGAGTGAAGTGTAGTGGGTTAAATGCACGAAGAAACCACAGAGCCTGTTGTAGTGATCAGCATGGTTTACTGGTACACAACAAGACAAAAAACAAACGGCCGGCTGGCCAACTATATACACCTCCTGGGGACACACCCCTAGGTCCCGTTGGTGGGTTTAAATCTCCCACCACGGTCCCATTGGTCCCCCAGTGGAGAGACCAGGAGCCTAGTCCCCATTGTTCCTCCAGAGGCAAGCTCTGGAGTGTTCGCTGGCCCCTAGTGGCGGTCAGCGGACACAACACTGAGGGACTTGGAAAGGTTCAGTTTGGAGAAGAGGAGGTTGAGGGGGGGGGACAGGATTGCTTTCTTTAGTTATTCGAAGGGAATGAGTTCCCTTATGAGATCAGGGCCCTGCGGGACTTATGGCAGTTCCGCAGGGCCTGCAAGATGGAGCTCTTCCACCGGGGATTGGGTCGAGGCAGCGGACTCCCCCACCCCCGCTTTTTTGACCAATCATCCATCAGTGGCCTGGTCCTGACTGGACATCTGATTAGATATCAGACTGCTTGACATCTGATCTCTCTGTTTACATGGTATTTTATGATATGATATCATGATGTGCAAATTGTTATTTTAACATTAATTTACTTTTATTATTTTAATTGTTGTACACCATCCCGAGCCCATTTGGGGAGAGTAGCCCCTCCCAACTCTGTGATTCTACGATTTCCTCCAATAAATCACACAGGAAATTGTTCAACACAATAAAGATGATAAATGTTTCAGCGGGCTGGTGACTTCTCAAGCTGGTAACAGAAATCGCTCTGTCTTTACTAGCTGTGGCACTGGGCTACGGTTGCCCGTTCCGGGCTGGGAAATTCATGGAGATTTGGAGGGTGAAGTCCAGGGAGGGGAGTGTTTGAGGAGGGGAGGGTCCTCATCCAGTTATAATGCCGTTGAGTCTACCCTCCAAAGCACGTTTTTTTCCTCTAGGGGAACTGCTATCTTTGGTTTGGAGACCAGTTGCAACATTAGGAGATCTCCAAAACCCCTTCTGGGATCATGGAACAGTTGCCAACTGCCCGCAGAAAAGAATGTCTTGTCCCTTTAACAGACGTTTGATGGCATGTTATTTAAGTCATGGCCCCGGTCACACGGGCCAGATAACGCGGGGCGGGTTGTGTGTGTGGCTGTTCACCCCGGAGCAAAATAAAGTGCGGTAGCCCGATCACATGGTCCCCCGAGTCTCCGCACTTAGGCTGTTAGCTGGCAACCACACAGCGATGCTGGAGCATGGCAAAGAAGCGGCATGGCAAGCGTTTCACGTTTGTGTGCATGCGCAGTCCCGCGGAGCAGCACTGCTTTCAGTTACGTGTTTGTGCACATGCGCTTACGAAAAACATCCCATTTGCGACAGGATGTGGATGGGCACCAGATGCCATGGGATACTAGCGCTCCCAACGATCAGACGCCCGCCCCTTCCCCGTGTTTTCCGGATACTAGTGCACTTTCCGCGGTACTTTTTTACTGCACATCTTCGGCAGGACGCCATGGGTTGGCCACGGGTGCGCTACGCTTCCCAGGTGTTGCGGTGTGATTGCACCCCGAAAATCCGCTTGACATTCATGCCTTTAGCGCGGCAAATCCTCCGTGTGACCGGGGCCCATGTTGTTTATTTCCATGCAATGAAATAAGATGCCTATTTCCATTAATCCTCTATTAAAGGGACAAGACTTTCTCCAGGTCTTTTGGCAACCCTTGGTTACTTTGGTTTTTACTCAAAAGCAAGGTGATGTGAATCTAAGAGTCTGACTATACTATAGATGTGAGCTGGGTCGGGGATCTAGGGACTTGGGTGGGAGACCACCAAGGAAGTCTAGGGTTGCTACATAGAGGCAGGCAATGACCAACCACCTCTGTTTGTTTCTTGCCCTGGAAATCCTATGGCGTCACCATAAGTCAGCAGCAACTTGACAACAGTTTTCACCACCACAGTAGTATAAAATGTACTTTAATGCAACAGGAAAAGAGACAGCCCTCCAGAAGAAATGACAAGATGAAGGGAGGCAGGCCCCCAAACTGCTACCTCCTGGTGTTGTGTCTATCTGGACTTGTGATGTCTGACTAGTATGTGCTTTCTATGGGTAATGCAAATATTTGCCAAAAGCTGTCATAGCTTGGATTCAGCAATGCGCAATGAGAAATGTAAATGGACGTAGTGCTCTTTTGGCTTGTGCAAGATCCTGAGCAAAAGTTAGTGCTTTCCTCGTACATATTATTAGGGATGGGCACAAACCGGCTCATGGAAAGAAGTTTGTCATGAATTTCGGCCGGTTCATGGTTCACAAAACAATGTTCGCAAGCGGACAAACTGCCACGAACTTCCATGAATTTTGATGCAGTTCATGGAGTTCGTGGCGGTTCACGAAGAGCAGAAAGCAGGGGTTTAAATGGCTTGGTTCACGGTCTGGAATATCGGTTCGTGGGTTTCACGAACTGAAAAAATGCAGTTGGTGCCTATCCCTACATAGTATAGTACACAGAAATGCATTACGCAAGATGTGGCCTGGCCCTGGCCCCCGCCTGGTGGAATGAGTTCCCTTATGAGATCAGGGCCCTGCGGGACTTACTGCAGTTCCGCAGGGCCTGCAAGATGGAGCTCTTCCACCGGGCATTGGGTCGAGGCAGCGGACTCCCCCACCCCCGCTTTTTTGACCAATCATCCATCAGTGGCCTGGTCCTGACTGGACATCTGATTAGATATCAGACTGCTTGACATCTGATCTCTCTGTTTACATGGTATTTTATGATATGATATCATGATGTGCAAATTGTTATTTTAACATTATTTTAATTGTATTATTTTAATTGTTGTACATCATCCTGAGCCCATTTGGGGAGGGCGGTATATAAATCTAAATAAATAAAGTGGGGATACAAGAAGTTAGGCTTCGTGCAAACCGCTACCGTGGTCTTTTCCTTGCATTTTTGTTTGCTTAACAGCAAAAAAAAAATTCTACTAGATCCAACCCACTGTGTGAAACTGCAGCAGACATTTGGGACTTTGGAGGCCATTAACACAAGCGTTTTCATTCAAACAGGCAATTAATCATTCCATCTTGGTTGCCTCAGGTATTGTCTTCTCCAATGGTCACACCTGGAAGCAGCAGAAGAAGTTTGGGCAGGTTACCATGCGGAAACTGGGCCTGGGGAAGAAAGAGCAACAAATTGCAGAAGAAGCCGAGCAGCTGGTCGAGATGTTTGAACGCTCAAATGGTACGTGGCACTAGGAGATGAAGTGGGCACATATCCCCGTCTGCCAAAGCCTTTGTGTGGATGACAGCATCTCAGGGTGCGTTCAGACAGCTCTTTAGATCCGCGCGAGTTACGGGTGCCTCATGGATTTAAATGTAATGTCATAAGAACATAAGAACATAAGAGATGCCAATGTTGGATCAGGCCAAAGGCCCATCCCGTCCAACACTCTGTGTCACACAGTGGCCAGAAATACCAGTGCCATCAGGAGGTCCACCAGTGGGGCCAGGACATTAGAAGCCCTCCCACTGTTGACCCCCCCCAAGCACCAAGAAGACAGAGCATCACTTGCCCCAGAGCCCCTATCTATACCTTGTGGCTAATAGCCACTGATGGACCTCTGCTCCATATGCTTATCTAATTCCCTTTTGAAGCCGTCCATGCTTGTAGCACCCACCACTTCCTGTGGCAGTGAATTCCAAGTGTTAATCACTCTTTGGGTGAAGAA